GGGCGACTCGAGGGTCGCTAAAAAAATCGCGCCTCGGGGGCGCGCTTCGGTGGGCCCAAAAAAAATTTCGGTCCTGGAGGGACCTAGCTCTATACCATGTGTAAATGAGTAAGCAGGAATGAGATGAACTATGAATGAAAGCAGTACAAATATGAAACCCTAACTGGGTTGTACCCCCTATGGGATACCCCACTACAGCCTACACAGCCGTATAAGCTATAGATATGTTCTGACACATCTCAGAATCCCAGCCACTAGACCACTGGGATAAAAGGGCTTGTTTCAGTAGCGGGTCAGTGCGCCCATAAACCCCCCAGGCAACCGTGCCTGTAACCCTTCCCTAGGATCAATCGGGGGATCACCAGTGGACCTCTGACACCCCCCCGCACTGGGATTGCCTGAAGTGCATACACCGGGATTCGAACCCGAGACCTTCGCTCTGATACCATCTCAGAATCCAGCCACTAGACCACTGGGATAAAAGGGCTTGTTTCAGTAGCGGGTCAGTGCGCCCATAACCCCCCAGGCAACCGTGCCTGTAACCCTTCCCTAGGATCAATCGGGGATCACCAGTGGACCTCTGACAACACACGGGTTCATACCGGGTCGAAGTTTGGCAGACGCGGTGGCGTTGGTAGCAGACGCGATTGAAGCGGCGGATAACGACGGGGAGGACTGGTACCTCTTGTTGGTTGATTTTTCAGAAGGCGTATGATACTGTATCGCGGCCTTTCCTCTTCAAGACGCTGGAGGAAACCCGGGCTGCCGGGACAGTTTGTCAAATGGACGGCGGGCCTGCACAAGGGTTCGGGGACCAGATTGGCAGATCAACGGCTGGTTAGGCGAGCAAGTGGAGATGCAGAGGGGGGTGAGGCATGGATGTCCGTTAGCGCCTTACCTTTTCCTGTGCGCTCTGGAGCCGCTCTGCGCGGAAATCAGGAAAAGAGGTCTGGGGATCAAGGCGGAAGGCGGGGAGGCTGTGTCATACGTAGGGTACGCGGATGACACCTCCTTAATTCCGGAATGGTGAAGCTCACCTGCAGGCTGCGGCGGGGGCCCTGGACTGGTTCGGGGAGCTGTCGGGCTACACATCAACAGAGACAAATCGATTATCATGCCGCTTGGAAGGAACAAAGGCAGAACGACATTACCAGGGGTGACGTTCAAGTGGGGCGGAGACAGGAGTCCCAGAATGGCTACTGGGGGTCTGGGTGACGCCGGACGGAGAAGCAGGCCCATCCTAGGAGAAGGCATGGGAAAAGGGGAAGAAGGAGTTAGCGAAGTGGGAGAGCCATCATCTGCTGACAGCTGCAAGAGTGACGATTATCAACAATTACATTATGCCGATTCTTCTGTTTCAAGCGCAGATTTACCCGCCGCTGGAGGAACTATGGGAGAGGATCCGGAAGACGTGTGACAACTATGTATCAAAAGGGGAAGCGACGGCGGAGAAGATCTTCGTATTGTGGAGCGGAGAGCTGGCTCGCCTGCCAAAAAAGGAAGGTGGACTGGGGTTAGTCGAACCGAAGGAACGGATTGATAGCCTGGCTATACCGGCAGGTGGGGAAATTTCTCACGGAGCAAGACGTTACCAAACGGTGGTTGTCGGAGAAGGCGGCGGCACTTCCGCAGGGAGTGGCGACCTTTTTCGCCCACAAGTCTGCTGGTAGACATTGGGGAAAAGGTAGCAAGAGGTGGAAGGCGATAGCATAAGTTTTCGGGGAGTCCCCGTTTGCAGACCTTCCGGCGCCATCGAATGGGTGGGAAGCCGAGCGCGAGATGCTATGCTTCAACCGGAAAATTATGTTCAAGGGGGGGAGCCCGTTCGGGAACCGCCAGGGGGCAGCAGGAATCTGGACAACTAGGCTAGGAGACCTGCTCATCACTAGGGGAGATGGTAGCAGGGAAGTTAAAAGCGTTAAGGAGCTAACAACAGATTTCGGAAGCGTGGCATCGGGGAGATGGCGAGAAAAGCGTATGAGGCGATCCCTGACGATGGCGAGCCGAGAGCGAAGCTGTGCCTGACATCGCTGGTAGGAGACGATATGAGGCCGGCTGCACCGAAAGCGATTAGGAGGCGCTGGCAGGGCCCGTGGTGACGTCCAGACGGAGACACGAATGGGAAGAGGAGTGGGGGAACAAAATAGACTGGAAGGCGGTCAGAGAAAGAAGGGACTCGCTGGTGATCCCGTAACAGAGCAAGAGATGTGCTGTTGAGGATGCACAGCAAGAACCTGCAGGTGGGGGGAGGCTGGTGTTTCTTGGAGCCAGGGGGTGCTGCCCACACTGTGGAGAGCCAGAAACCCTAGCTCACTGCATGCTTACCTGCCCAGTCATCCAACCGGTGATCGGCGCGCTGCTGAGGTCATTGGGGATCATAAACCCAGCAGACCAAACGAGAACACTGGGAGACATGCTGTTTCAGGAGGGGGCCACGAAATCCGGGTTTCCAGGGGCGACGTTGACAGCAGTGACAATGCGCAGGATTTGGTTGGCCAGAGTGGATGCGGTGTACCGGAAGGAGAAATTTCAGAGGAAAAAGGTGGCACGGGCAGCAATCTATGACTTCATGCGGCATGCGAGGCTCTACAGAGCGGGAAAGTTGAGGAAGGCAGGTGTGGGGGGGGAGAAAAGGGCAACCACGGGACCCATGGGGGGGGCTGGAAGGAGATGAACGTGCGGCGATCGCGAGGATCTGTGAGGCAGGGGAGCAGGCCACGTGGAGGATGGGCTTCCTATCCATATGGCAGAACCCCAAGACGTTTCATCGGCCACCGTAGGCGGATGCAGGGGGGGCTGCGCTGGAGTCTTTGACTGCAGTTTGCATGCTTCCCTCTGGAATTCAGTTACGACTGTGAATGTATTTGCATTGGTATAGTGCAAACTCGTTCTGTATAAAAAAAAACTTAACAATTTGAACATCTGCCACTCCGTATCACATGTGTCACGCATACCGAGTCATCCCTTTGCCGCGTACAACCCGTCACTACACTCCTTCCGTCAACCACGCTCTCGTGTTTCCTTTCCCCTCACCCCCGCACTCCACCGCCTCGTCAGAAGCACCGCTTCGTCCAGAAGCAAGCATTCCTTGTCTCCTTGCACTGACGACGCACCAACAAGCTTGCGGTCTCCGCTACAGATGTCGCCGCAACTGGGTGTTATGTCCTCATCCCGAGAATTGCGGTAGTCCTCCGAGGCCCGTACGGTTTGCGAGAATGAACGAGGAAGGGCGGCATCAGCAGCTGCGCCGTCCTTCGCAGCGCACATAACACCGCGACCAACGCCGCCTTTCTCGCAGCGCCCTTCTTTCCCACATTCCCCCCTCTTCCGCCGCCTCCCCACGTTTCCCCTCATGGAGCGCACCTTTTCCGCCAGCGGCCGCCACAATCACCCCACGTTCGGCTCCCCCGCGCTCCGCCCTTCCGCCTCCCCCCTCTTCACCCACGCTTCCCACGCCACCGCGCGATCCCCGCCGCACTCCCCGTCGTACTCCCGCCGTATTCCCCGCCGTATTCCCCCCCCTACTCCCCAAGCTCCCCCTCTAAAGGCCCCTTCCCCCAGGCCTCCCACGCCTTAGATGCCTATATATAGCGATTCTGATAGTAGTCTCGTACAATTTAAGTTACGTGGTAGAGCATTTAACTCTGTCTTTATTAGGCCGCCCTAACGCGTGGTCGCACGGCGGCGCGAAGGGCGGGGAGGAGGAGTACGGCGCGTACGGCGCGGACACCGCGCTTTATAACGCGCTGTCCGCGGCTATCGATAGCGGGGATGACCCGCCCACGCTGGCGTCTTTCACGCCTCCCGACCTGCCCGAATGGGACCCCAACGACGTGAGTGGAGGGGGGGGGGAGGGACGGGTAGGGGGGGATGGAGGGAAGAAGGGGAAGGAGGCAGGGGGAAAGAGGGACGGGCAAGGGGGAAGCGGGAATTGGGGAGGCAGGAGGTGATTAGTAAGTTGACTCAGAAGTCAATTTGCCTGACCTGACCTGCCCGAGTGGGACCCAAATGACATGAATGCAAGGATGAGGGAGGGGGAAACGGAGGGCGGGAGGCATGGAGGTGGGAGTGACTTGCATGCGGAGCTGCCACCCGCATGTCTAGCACCACTGCTCCTCTCCCTCTCCAGGTACCCTCCTCACACCCATGTGGAGGCATTCGTTGCACCCACGGCAGCCCAGCGGCTTTCCCTAGCTGCCACACGGAGAGTCGTGTGGACGTGGACGTGGAATCACTGTTTTTGAGAATTCTCAACAACCTCTCTATTCTCACTGCCACCTCCTTCATCCCATCCTTTTTCATCCGATTTCGATGCGCCGCAAAAACCATTCCACCCTTGGCGTTCACCTCCCCCACGCATCCCATCCTTCCCCTATTGATCGGGCCCACTGCACCTGCATATAAACCTCTAAACCGATGAGCATCCATCTGGCAGGTGCAAGTGGAGGTGCCAGTGGGGCCGTCCCGCGTATGTTTTTTGAGAATTCTCAAAAAACATCCACCACGGCCGCCCAGAAGCGCTGCTCTGCCACAAGTCACACGCCACGTGTGACTTGTGCCCGTGCTAGAAGCCTTGCCCTGCCACGTGTCCTTGTAATCCACCCACACACGCCACCTCCATGCATTCCATGCATCCCATGCAATCCATGCATCCCATGCATCCCACTCAACCCCCGTTCTGCCCGTCAGGTGCAAGTGGAGGTCCCAGTGGGCTTCTATCTACCACGGCCGCCCAGCAGGGCACACACACACACACCCACACGATTAGCGCACACCCACCCATCACCTCTGCTCACCTCACCGCGCCGCCCCTCATCCATACCCACCACCCCCCTTCCTGTCTGTCTGTCAGGTGCAAGTGGAGTGGAGTTCCCAGGGCTTTCTACCTAGGCACACGTGACACACAGGGCTATGCGGAGGTGTGTAGGCGTGAGTGTTTTGAGACGTCTCAAAACACTCCTTCTTTCACGTGACACACAGGGCTATGCGGAGGTGTGTAGGCGTGAGAGGTGGTCCCAGGGCTTTCTACCAAGGCGTCCCAGCAGGGCACACGTGACACACATGACATGAGGAAAGCACACCCATCACCTCACCTCACCGCACCGCACCACCTCTCATCCATACCCACCCCTCCCCTTCCTGCCTGTCCGTCAGGTGCAAGTGGAGGTGCCGGTGGTGTTCTACCATGGCCGCCCGGGAGCCTCGCCCTGCCATAAGTCGCATTATGTCTATAAAGTAGTCTCCGAGGTGAGATGTTGATTTGAATCTGTGTATCCATTCATAAATTTATTTAATTTTTCTCTCATGAGCTACTGAGTTACTTGTCTGTAACATGAAACAGCACTGAACACGAAATACACTATACTATACACACTTTTATTCCTCTGCTTTCTCTGCCTGTGCTTCCCCGACTTGACTTTTGAGTCGACTCAAAAGTCAACTTTGCCTGTGCGTCCCCGACTTTTGAGACGTCTCAAAACTCTGCTTTCTCTGCCTGTGCTTCCCTGACCAGTTTTGAGACGTCTCAAAAGTCCTCTGCTTTCTTTGCCTGTGCTTCCCTGACCAGGCGCGCAAGCACAACAACGCGGTGCATTTCATCGGCCCTCGGGAGTGTCGGCAGTTTTTCTTCCACATGGGGGTGGCCTTCGAGGAGCATGCGGAGTACGAGGAGGTGTATGAGTGGTTCATTCGCAACCTTGGGACTCCCGTGGACGTGCATGTGAGTGCGTAGGAGTGTGAAGGAGTATAACGGTCGTTTGAGGTGGCGTTCGAGGAGCATGCGGAGTACGAGGAGGTGTACGAGTGGTTCATCCGCAACCTTGGGGCTCCAGTTGACGTGCACGTGAGTTTATTCCTGGAAAGGTAACAATGTAACAGCCTTAGCACTCCAGTCCACGTGGACGTGAGTATGGAGGGGTGCAAGCTTTGTGGGTTTGTGCATATGGGTTCAAATAGGTCACTTCGAAGCATTTCAACTGTGACTCGTTTGAGAAATGCGTCGTGAGTATATGAATCCTACTCACAGGAAACATGGGAGTTTTTTTTTTGTTTTTTCTTCCATCCACTCCCCTCTCCCCATCAGGTGCGCTGGTTCATACTCAAGAAGTTCATGGGGCGCCACAGCTATGGACGCATATTCCTCCACTCTCACGTTCCCACTCTGCCTTGATCGCTGTTCTATTCCCGCTCCTCCATCCTAAAGAAGTTCATGGAGCGCCACAACCACAGTCGCATATTCCACCTCGCCCACTCTCCCACTCCCCCCTGATCATTGTTCTTCCTCCAACATTTCCCCCTACCTTTCCATCAGGTGCGATGGTTCATACTAAAGAAGTTCATGGAGCGCCACAACTACGGACGCATATTCCACCTCGCCACCGAAGTCATGCTCTTCGCCAATGCCTCCCAGGTGCCCACAACAGCGCAGCGCTCCCCTTCTCCGACAGCAGTTTCCACCCCTTTCCAGCAGTTTCCACCCCTTTCCAGCACCTTTCACCACATTTTGTCGTCTTACACCAACACTCGCTGCTTTGTGGTCTCCCTCTAATCCGCGTTCTTGTGGAGTCTCTCTCTTCTTGCGTTTCCTTTTGAGTCGACTCAAAAGCAGACTCCCTTTAATCCGCGTTCTTGTGGACTCTCTCTCTTCTTGTGGACTCTCTCTCTTCTTGCGTTTCCCGCCACTGCCCCCCTCCCTCTCTCTCTCTTCTTGCGTTTCCCGCCACTGCCCCCCTCCCTCTCTCTCTCTTCTTGCGTTTCCCGCCACTGCCCCCCTCCCTCTCTCTCTCCTTGCAGTGCCTTCTCGAGTGGCAGTGTGCCTTTTTCCCTCTCTCTCTCCCCAACACCATCCCTACTCCGCCCTCGCTTTGCCGGCCTGCTTGCCCAGCATTCCCCACCCACTGCATCCCACTCCCTCTAACTGCCTCCCTTTATTCGGACCCCTTGTATTCCTGGCTATTCTTTTTTGCGTCCTCTCAGGTGGCGGCATGGCTCTTCCCTAACTCTGACCTCGCTCTCCCTGCGCGCTGGCCCAGCATCAGGCCTCCATTGAGGCCCACTCAGTACTCCTCTGCAGGTGAGCTCACAGCCCAGCTTGCGTGCTCTACTCTGCAGGTGAGCTCACAGCCCAGCTTGCGTGCTCTTCTCTGCAGGTGAGCTCACAGCCCAGCTTGCGTGCTCTTCTCTGCAGGTGAGCTCACAGCCCAGCTTGCGTGCTCTTCTCTGCAGGTGAGCTCACAGCCCAGCTTGCGTGCTCTTCTCTGCAGGTGAGCTCACAGCCCAGCTTGCGTGCTCTTCTCTGCAGGTGAGCTCACAGCCCAGCTTGCGTGCTCTACTCTGCAGGTGAGCTCACAGCCCAGCTTGCGTGCTCTACTCTGCAGGTGGGTGCGGTTGGCTTCCCTCCTCCCTCTCACCCTCTCCCTGCGCGCTGTCCCAGCATCGGACCTCCGTTGGAGCCCACTCAGTGCTCCTCTGCAGGTAGGTGCCAAGTGCTTTCTCTCCTCCCGTTCGCTCTCTTCCGCTTCCTGCTCCTTGTCTTCGACTCGCCGCTGCTCCTAGTCCCATACACTCTTCAGCATCTGCCACACACGTAGCATTAAGTTCCCATCCTCCCAATCTCTCTATCCCTTCCCCTCCCTGCAGGAGTGGGCACGCACATAGCCCTCATGTCATACGCAGCCCTTGTCCACGGGTGTCTCTTCCTGCAAGCTCTCGTTCACTCACTGCTGCTCCCATACCCTGACATGCTGTCCGATACCCTTAGTCTCTCAACCCCTTCCCCTCATCTCCCATGCCCCCCTCCCTGCAGGAGTGGGCACGCACATAGCCCTCATGTCATACGCAGCGCTGGTGGACTGGTGTCTCTTCCTGCACGCTGTCTTTGACTCGGCCATGTTCGGAGGAGACAAGGACACCCAAGACCTGGTGCTGCTGCCGTCCTACGTGGATGTTACAATCATGGGCTGGTACACTTTCGCTGGCTGCTGGCTGCAGGTGAGCGGTGGAGAGCTGTGCAGAGCGGTCAAGAGCGGTGAAGTGCCGTAGAGAGGACTAGAGAGCAGTGGGGAGTGGTGTTTGAGTGGTAAATAGAGATGATTAGAAGAGGACCCAAGACCTGGTGCTGCTGCCGTCCTACGTGGATGTTACCATCATGGGGTGGTACACTTTCGCTGGCTGCTGGCTGCAGGTGAGCAGTGGAGAGTGGTTGAGTGCGGTGGAGCGAGGTAGCGAGAGGTAGAGAGCAGTGGGATTAGAAGATGAATGAAGGGACACCCAGGACCTCGTGCCGCTGCCCTCTTATGTTGACGTAACCATTATGGGCTCGTACACCTTCGGTGGCTGCTGGCTGCTGGCTGCAGGTGAGCGGTGGAGTGCGGTTGAGTCTGTTGGAGTGCGGTTGAGTGCGGTGGAGTGCGGTGGAGTGCAGTGCCGAGGGCTAGAGAGCAGTGGAGAGTGGTGTGTGAATGTGTGAGGTGATTGAAGGGAGACCTATGACCTGGTGCTGCCGCCATCCTGTGTTGATGTCACCACTTTGAGCTGGTACAGCTTCGCTGGCTGCTGGCCGCAGGTGAGAGGAAAGCGGTGGAGAGGGTTGGAGATTGATGGAGAGGGGTTTAGAATGCTCGAGAGTGGTGAAGGGGTGATAGGACTCAGAATCCGGTCTTGCTGTCCTCATTTGTGGATGTTACCAAACCCATTTACGCTTGCAGCTCCTATACCAGGCTATCTCTGCTTCGCTCCCTCTTGACCCCTTCCCAACCCCAACCCAACCCCATTGCAACCACCACCACCCTCGCGGCAGTGTGTCGGGCATGAAACCCAAAATCTCCAAGCCTCCATGCAAAACGGGGCATCCAACCACGCTTCTGAGTGCAATCCCTCTTCCAGCCGTCTCTGCTTCCCCCACTCTTAACCCCTTCCCATCACAACAGTGGGTGGAGCCTCCATGTGTGTCAGGCGTGAAACCTGAAACCGCCAAGGCCCTGCGCAAGCGGGGCATCCAACCGCGCTTCCGAGTGCAATCCCTCTGCCAGCCGCGGCGCTGCCTCAACTCCTCCTGGTCTGACCCGGGCATCTGCGTCTTTGACAACCTATTTTTGTTTGCTCCTCATTCCCTGCTCCCGTTCCCACCTCCATGGCAGTGGGTGGAGCCTCCATGTGTGTCGGGCGTCAAACCCAAAACCGCCAAGGCCCTCCGCAAGCGCAGCATTCAACCGCGCTTCTGCGTGCAATCCCTCTGCCAACCCATCTCATCTCCACCCTTCCCCCCTTAACCCTTCCGGTGCATGTACCCCTATGGCAGTGGGTGGAGCCCCCATGTGTGTCAGGCGTCAAACCCGAGACCGCCAAGGCACTCCGCAAGCGGGGCATCCAACCGCGCTTCCGAGTGCAATCCCTCTGCCAGCCGCGGCGCTGCCTCAACTCCTCCTGGTCCGACCCCGGCCTCTGCGTCTTTGACAACAACTTCTCCCTCACGCCCGGCCGCCCGTTCTTCAAGTTTAAAACCGGGGACAAGTGTCCGAGCACGATGCACTATGGGTTTTACCGCGGGTGGGAGGAGGAGGCGCAGACGGAGCCGGTGCAGTTCCTGGCGGTGCATTTCATGCATCGCAAGAAAGAGTTTCTGAGTACAAAGTTTCCGCCTGAACCAGAGAAGTCGTGGGGTAGTGCGAGCGAGTAGTGGTGATGGCTTGATTTTTTACGTGAATTGGATAGACAAAGCTAGCATTAGGCTGCGAGCGATGTATTGAGGTGGAAGAATCATGTTCCTGGTGCAGGCCAGCATGTTACCTGTACCGTATATGATGGAAGCAAAACATTGGCCAACTTCTCTGCAACCAAGCCAAGGCTACAGTATGTGGATGTTCCTACAAACCCGCACAAGCTGCACGCTTTTACAATCTCTCAACTTGCGAAGAGGAAGCTACAGTTGGTCACTGGCGCCTCTAAAGAATCAAGCTGCACATACGTAGCTGACTGCACACACCTGGTAAGGGGACGAAAACACAACTCCCCTTCAACACTTAGAGCTTACTTCCATACACGCCTTCCCCATCCTCAACGTCCAACCTACCGCACCAACTTTTGGAGCCTACCGAACCTACTTTCAGACACGCTTTCCATCCATTTCATCCTAGTCATCATCACTACCCCCCCAGTGTCTGCCAAAGTCGTCGTCATCGTCACTGTCCAAGCCATACTCATGATCAATATCATTATCTTCACCTCCGCTCTCCTCGTCCTCTGGTGCCTCAACGCCCGCCTCTTCCCTTTCCCCAGCCACATCGCCTCCCTCCTCCCCTTCTTCCTCTTCCGCATCCCCTCCTTCCTCTTCCTCCTCCCCCTCCCCCTCCTCTCCCTCCTCTCTCCTTACAGGAACCCCTCTCATGTCACGGCGGGAGAGCAGAGGGCATTCACTGATGTCGCACTCACGCAATGTTGGCATTTTCCGGAGAGACGCAGGCAGCCGAGTCAGCTTCTTGCATATGATCACCTCCAGCTTCTCCAGCTTAGGTAGAAGAGTGAACGAATCTGGCAAGCTTTGTAAGTGCTTCAGCCCCAAAATCAGCAACTTTTTAAGGGAAGACAGCTTCCATATATCATCCGGAATGCTTGGGATTCCAAGCATGATGAGAGAGCAGGATCGTAGCTTGGGTAGATTCACAAACGACTTTGGGAGCTGCATCAGCTTGTAACAGTCGATAATCTCCAGCGTCTCGAGCATTTTCAGCTGCCCAAGAGACTCAGGCAGCTGCCGCATTGAGATGAGGTCAACCAGCTGTAAGACACGCAGCCCTGCAAACCCCCCAATGGTCTCAGGCAGTTCTTTCAGATAGTAGGCCGAATCAACCTTAAGCCGTTGCAGCTGCGAGAGTTGGGAGATGCAGTCGGGGAGAGAGTCAAGTTTGTGAAGATCTAAAAGTTTTAACTGCGTCAATGAGGGTAGACGACCGAGAGATGGACCGAACGACTCCACATTAAGCTCTTTGATCTTCAGACTTTGTGTGGAAGGAAGCAGAGGACGGCTGCTGCTCCTGCTGCCAGTGCTAGTCACAAAGCCCTTGGCAGTGCGTTGAAGCACCGTCTCATCGCCTAGCACCCCACTTAGTGAATCACATGCCCGCACGTCCAACGCCCTCAGACTAGGCAGCTCAAGGAGCGCCGGAGGGAGACATATCAGGCCGCCCATCCCAAAGATTCTGACCTCCTCGAGCGCCACCAGCCGTCCGATTCCCTCTGGCAGGACCGTTACTTTTGGGCAGTTTCCAACTTCCAGCCTGGAGAGGGAATCAACGCCAGAGAATGAAGCTGGGAGGGAGGATAGGTGTGGCATGGAATCGAGCGACAGCTCCTTGAGGCTCCTCAAGCAGCCAAAGCCGTCTAACAGCGCGCCCCTGAAGCGTTTCGCGTGAGCAATCTTGAGCGTTTCAAGAGATGTCAGGCCGGAGAAGGATGGAGGGAGGTGGGTGAGAGCGGTGCAGTCCAGTAGATGCAGGTGGCGCAAGGAGTGCAGACCCTTCCCCATGGCGTCTGGCAACACCGTGAGGCTCTGACACATGTTGATCTCTAGGCGCTCGAGAGAAGTCAGCTGGGATAGGGAGTCCGGGAGTTGCTGCAGCTGCCTACACTCCACTATTTTCAGCTTCCGAAGAGCAATTAACTGCCCGAATGTTTCAGGCAGGCGCGTGAGCTGTCGGAGGTCTTTCAAATACAGCTTTTCTAAACAAACCAGCTGACCGAACTCCTGGGGCAGATGTGTCAGATTGAGAAGAGAATTGAGGGAAATCTCTTGAAGAGTGGTAACCAGGGCGATGGAATCAGGTAAGGCTGTGAGACTTCGCAGATTTAGCACGAGTCTCCGTAGCGTAGACAACTGCCCGAAATCTTCAGGCAGCACTGAAATTTGTCCCATGTCAAGGGTTATATCGGTGAGTGCAGGCAGGCGGGGAAGAGACACGGGCAGAGTCGTGATGTCACTGCAGCCGTTGATAAAAAGAGTCTTCAGTCGTTGCAAATGTTCCAGATCCACAATCAAGTCGCGCATTCCCCTCACTTCAACCATAATGAGGGTTTCAAGCGCCCCCAGTTGACCGAAATCGGCCGGCGACGGAGGAAGAATGCTGCAATTTCGGAGCTCCAGGACGGCGAGAGAAGAGAGCTCGGTGAAAGAGGTCGGCAGCTGCAGCGTAGAGCAGCCACTTAAGGAAAAACGGTTGAGAGCGGTAAGTTGCCCAAAAGATTCCGGAAGTGTCGCCAAGCGGCTATGGTGGAGCTCCAGCGACGTCAAAGAAACCAGATTGCCGAAATTCTGAGGCAGAGCTTCGAGCTGATAAGTGTTCAGCACGAGCCTTTTGAGAGATTGTAACGAGGTCAGTGTGTCGGGAAGACGCGTGACTCCACTTCCCACGAAGTGCAGGTGCTTGAGGGAAGTAAGTCGGCCGATTGACGTGGGAATGGCAGCATTCGTCGAGCAGTACACATAGAGATCTTCCAGCCGCGTACACCCTTCGAACAGCGCAATGAGGCTCTTCTCGGTTACATCTCTTTTATTAGTCCAAGGTGACATCGTTTCGACATGAAGCTGGGTCAAATGGCGACACGACCTAGCGAGGTGAGAGAATAAGAACTTGGAGATGGAGGTGAGGCTGCAAGAGGAAAGGATTAGCTTTTCGAGGTTAGGGAACGAGGATAGAAGTTGAACAAGCCGAGGCGGATCCATACGGATGTCATGGGGCAAACGGAGCTCGTATTGCACGCGGCACGCGATCTGATGCCATTGCTTGCTAACAAGTGCGTGCTCTGGCAGGCCATCAGGTCGAACCAGAAAACGTAGGATCCGAGAAAGAAGCTCCTCAGGTAGTCGCTGAATCGGCGATCCGATTGACATTGTGAAAGGCGGAGAAAATAGTGAATGATTATCTGTTCAGCTTGTTGATTCTGCTACTAATCAGGTAACGAGAGTCCTAATCGTCTAATAGCAAGGTTGTTGTGAGCTTGAAAGGGGGAAGGAATCACTCGTGAAATCATTCCCCCGAGGATCACGGAGTGCATCTCTCTCAACCAGGGCTGTCGCTAGGTCTGGTCCGGTCGCTCAAACCAACAAGAAAACCTTGAGGTTGTCAGTTACACAACGCTCGTTCTTCTCGAACCATTCCCGCCAGATGCTCCCACGTAACACCGTACTTGCGAAATGGTCGGCGATGTAGGGCACAAAATGACGAACCTCAATCTCGATTTTCGAGGATTGCCCACAGTGCTTTCGCGAGCCCCAATTGTGTGTCTCTTGGTGACCCGACGTGCGCTTGTGCGAGTTCCGCCAGAAAAGTGATGGCGTACCCGTTTGTGGATGCGATTCCAGCGAGTAGTGTAAGAAATTTGTGATAAGCAGCGAGTTGTTATTCGCAAATACGCAAGGAGTGTAAAGAATGGAGCAAAATAAGGTACATATTACTGTTACAAGGTTAGAAAACGTGTATTTTGCGCTTACGTATATGACCTTACAAGGCGTTAGAAGAAAGTGTGCCCCTGTGTTTTAGGTACCAGTGGCACTTTTCTAAATCACACTGCAGCTGAGTGCACGCATCTGGTAAGGAGCGCTAACAACACATAACCTTTCCATTGACAACCACAGCCTATTTTCATACATGATTTCGTCCCCAACTTCCAACCCACCAGTCTCACCTATTCATCCTAGTCATCATCACTGTTCCCCCAGTCTCTGACATCGTCGTCAAAATCATTGTCCAAGGCATACTCATGATCAATATTATCATCATAACCCCCACTCTCGTCTTCCTCCACTGCCTCCCCACCCGCCGCCACATCGGCTCCCTCCTCCCCCTCTTCCTCTTCCGCATCCCCTCCCTCTTCCTCCTCCCCTTCTTCATCCTCCTCCTCCCCCTCCCCCTCCCCCTCCCCCTCCTCTCCCTCCTCTCTCCTTGCAGGAACCCCTCTCGTGTCCCGACGAGAGAGCAAAGGGCATTCACTGATGTAGCACTCACTCAATGTCGGCATTCTCCGGAGAGAGGACGGCAAACGAGCCAGCTTATTGCACGCAACCACCTGCAGCACCTTAAGCTAAGGCAGCTGGGTAAACGAATCCGGCAAGCTTCGCAACTGCCTCAGTCCCAAAATCAGCAACTTTCGGAGGGAAGAAAGCTTCCAAATCTCATCCGGAATGTATGGGATCCCGAGCTTGATAAGGGAGCACGATCGTAGCTTGGACAAACTCACGAAGGACTGTGGAAGCTGCATTAGTTTGTAGCAATCATAATATCCAGCGTCTCAAGCATTTTCAACTGCCCAAGAGACTCGGGCAGCTGTCGCATCGTGTACAGGTGAACCAGCTGCAAGACACGCAGCCCTGCAAGCCCCCAAAGGGTCTCGGTCAGTGCTTTTAGATTAAAAGCCGTATCAACCCGAAGCCTTTGCAACTGTGAGAGGTGAGCGATGGAGTCAGGGAGAGATTCAAGCCTGTCCATTTCCAGAAGTTTCAGCTGCGTGAAGAGGATAGTTGACCCAGGGACGGACCAAAAGACTCAACATCCATCTCTTTTATCTTGAGGCTCTGAATTGAAGGAAGTAACGTGCTGCTGCTGCTGCTGCTGCTGCTGCGGCTGGTGCTGCTTGTGCTGGTCACAAAGCCTCTGGCAGTACGTCGAACCACCTTCTCATCGCCTA